AATTATTAAAATTAGTCTTGTAGAAAAAACTATTAAGAATTAGTTTTGCAGAGGAACTATTAAATATTAGTTTTGCAAAAGGAGCTATTAAATATTAGTAATGTGTAAAAACTATTTAGCTTTAATTCATAAGAAACTATTAAAAATTAATTTTGCAAAGTAATTAAAAATAATTGTAAGAAAATCTTTAAAAATTAATTTTATAAGAAATTTTTTAAAAATTAATTTTATAAAGGAGTTTTTAAAAATTAATTTTGCAAGAATTATTAATATTAATTTTATATAAATTTTGCAATTACAATTAGTTAATTATTATTGTAGATTTTTTAATAAAATTTCATATTTTATTATTATTGTAAAAATAAATAAACTAAATAAAAGATCATCATTTTTTGTTGATATTATATTTTATTTTTAAAAATATTTATAATAATAAAAATCTCTAAAAATCGTATCTTGTCCTATTTTTTCTTTAGTACTCGATTCTTCAAATGAAATAATATTAGTAATTAATCTACTAATAATTATAATTCTTCAAAAAATAATATTAGTAATAAATTTATTGATAATCATAGTTCAAAAAAATTAAAAAAAGATCATTATCTATTTATAACTATCTAAATGTAGATAAAAATGATACTTGTATTTGTAAAATATATCCTGAAAATTCTGATATCGAGCTTAGTAAATGGGGTGCAGGTACATTTTTGTTAACAATTTTATTACATTTTAAAAGTAAATATCCAGATCTTTATAAAAATTTTCAATACAAAAATGCCAAAGTCACTTATATTATATATTTAACAACTGAAAAGAATTGTATAAAATCATTAAATCATGATCTATATCAATTAATTATTAAAATTAGCTAGTTTTTTCAATAGTTAATAATGATCTTTTTATTAAATTTATTTTGAACTTTGATTTAAAATATAAATTTCTTTATTATTAAACAATCTTCATAACTATTAAAAATAAATTTAAATTAATGAAAATAGAGATAAAAAATATACTAAAATTAAATCTTAGTAAACTAGTACTTACTATTGATATTTAAACAGCATATAATCAACAATTCCTCAAAGTTACAGTTCACTAGGTAGATGCAGAGTAGATAATAAAGACTTTTTTTTTAACTTTATACCTTTATATAAATCTCATACTAGTACATATCTTGAAGAAAAATTAGTTAAACTTGTAAATGATCTAGAGATAAAGATAAAATCTTAGGTTTTACTAATAATAATGCATTAAATAATGAAATATATCTATGTTATTTTCAAAACCATATTAATCCTAATTATATATATATAAAATATACTACATATATTTTAAATCTTGCTATAAAGAAGAACAAAAATATTTTATTAAACAGAAAAATAAGCTTAGTATCTGTAATGAAATTAGAAACTTACCTATTTTTTTAAAAGAAATGAAAAAGATTTTTACTATTTTTAATCAGCTATTTCTTTATCCTGAACTTGATATTGAAACAAGATAGAATTCTACTTATCTTATAATAAAACAGTTTATAGAAATTAAGGATATTGTAAATTATTTAGTATTAGTTTATTCTAATTTACAAAAAAACTACTTAAAACCTTAAGATTAAAAAGTAATTAATAAAATAATTTATTTCTTAAAATTTTTTTATAAAATAATAATAAAATTATCAAAAATATCTTTATTCTTGCATAGTTCATTATGAATAATTTTTTAAAGACCCCTAATATACTTTGATCACTATATTGAAACTACAAATATAATCATATATTATAAAGTAGCTCAAGAAATAAAAATAAAATTACTAAAATACTAAACTTATCTCTTAAAATTTTTAACTATTTCAGCCTTACTTAATTTATTTACTAAGTTTGAAACCTTCAATAAAGATGATTACTAATTAGCTATTGATAGTTTGAGAGTTTCTTATTCATTTCAGTTTATGGCTAAAAAAATAGTAGAATTTAAAAAAGATCCATTTGAATATTTTAAAATCTAAAAAAGTTGAGTTAGGACAATCAAGATTTATTTGATAAATTTGTAAATTATCTTTCATTACCTTCAGAATTGTATACTAATTTATTATTATAGTAAAAGATAAAAGCTTACTATTTTTTAAATATAGCTTTAATAGCTACAAACCATTTTGTACTACAAGCTACAAGTATTCTGTATAAATGTATTTTTTTGGTAATCAAATATACAATAAATCCTTTAAGAAATAGTCTTCTTGAAGAATCTATAAGAACTATTCTATATATAAAAATTGATCTGAGACAGAGTTTTAAAAATAAATATAGAATAAAATATAGTTAATTTTTAATTAATAATATATAAAATTTAGTGATAATAATATAAATTATTTTTTAAATATAATAATAATGATAAAAATATAAATTATTATATTAGTAAATCATATATTATTATATGCAAAAAATTAACTTAAGAATTATATCCTAATCAAAATCTTTGTCTGAGAAGCCTAAATAGATAGGATTAGACTTTTAATAGCTTCTTATTATCTCCTATTAATAATAAAGTATTTATTTTGTAACATCCTATTGTCTATTTAGTCTCTTAGCAATTATTAAAGATTCATATTACTTATCAAAAATTTATTATTATTGCCCTATACTATTGGAGTTAAATTAGTCTTTATTCTATAATATTTATTAAGCTCTTCTATCAATAGTTATATTTGGTACTAGTTGTGTGAAATGAAACTTTGCTTCCTGGAATCTATTAATAAAATAACTTATATCTCTTCAGTAAAACTTGACAAGCTAAATCTTTTCTCAAAAAAATTGATTACTAGTATCTCTATTTAGAAAAGAGCAATAGTACAACAAAATCCTGCTTAACAACCTAATCTAACCAACTAACCCAAAGCAATTAATAATCTTACAGCCCAAATTAGAGCTTTTGTTCAACAAATGTAGGCTGCTCCTGTTCCCAATTCAACTACAATGCATCTGCTTGTGAACTAAATCTCATATAATACCCTGACTTTTCTGGAGACGATTAAGATCAATAACTTAGTTTAACAAAGTCAAGAAGATGTTTACCACTAACTTGGTTGACAACAATCAAAAGATCACAGTAATCATACCCCATCTTAAAGGATCCACTGCTACTTGGTGGGCCACTTGCCAAAGGCAAGTGAACCCTATTAATGTCTGGAATAACAATACAAGCCAGACCTAAAGCTTTCATCTAAATCTTATCTCTCATTTCTGAACCCCTTTGGAGAGCAAATGGTTTGCCCAACTCGCTACCTGAAAACAGTTGCCCCATGAATATGTTGATTCTTAGCATTCCACTGTCCAAGAACTCCTCCATCACATTGAATCAGGAGGTCAACAGTATTCAGAAACTGCCAAAGCCCAGATCTTACTCAATGGTTACAATAGAAATTAATAGTTATAGATGTGAATTATTTGGGAGAATTTATATACTGTCCTTTGAGTTCACACAAATAATGACACAGGTATACATGGGTGTCTAAATTATATTTTAAAAAAAGTAATTTCGACAAACATTTTGACATTGTTAGTTTTTTATATAAATTCCACAAAGTAACTATACTACCTAATGTATTTTGGCATAAAGAATTCAAATAATTTCACTAAAAATTTCGACAACTATGAAAATTAATTTTGCCACTAAGATAAATTAATTTCGACAGACTAAATGTCGAAACAATTTTTCATTAAGAGAAGTAATTTAGACACCCATGTATAGACACAGGCATCTTATTGTTACGTTACAATGTTAGATGATAATTTCTAGTTATTTTTGGGAGATGATGTTTTAAGTTTATGCGCAATATGTGATACGAATAATAACTCTGAAATGTATAAATAAATGATGATATATATGTTTTGCTATAAAGTTACAGGTCAAAATTTTAAACTACACTCGATACGGTATCCTAGCACACCGCGTAATAGCGTATTAAATCATTTCATTTTACTTATTACTTTGGTCTGTGATCAAGGTATGATTATTGAATGATCCAGGTTCGTCAATGGTTTTCAAGGTCTGATTATTGAACGATCCAGATAAGTCAATGAATTTATATATATAATTTTCATCGTTACAATCGCTCATACGTCAATGGAACACAAAAAAGTCTGCGCTAGTTTGGCTGTAACCAATGGATGAGTAAGTAATTCTTCAGGATGTTCTAAAGAACAGAAGAATGAAAAATTCCAAATTTATAAAAATTTCAGTCTAATAAATTCCTGGGCGAATTTTATTAAATTATTAATACACAAAAAAACACAAGGTTAATTTTCATTTCATAAATTAAAAGACTGGACATTAATATTAAGACTTTTAAAGCATACCTTACATACTTATCGTTTATAACTCATACCGGTATTATCAATGGTCTAGACCTAAGCCACAAGACAAAAATTTTCTATATCAAACTTACCTCATATATATATATATATATCAATTTTAATATGATTTCTCATTAATACACTATTAACAAGATTTAAAACCAATCCAAATAGGTTGATGTTAATGAGTGTTATAAAAAAAAAGAATTATCTGGTTGGCTAAAAATTAATTATATGGTATGCCCATATGGCCATATAAAAATTTTCATGCCCCATGTGGGCATGCCTAAATCCTTATCGTTATGCCCCACCCTAAGATCTGTATGTATGTTGCAAACGAGCATACATTTGGGCAACTTTAAAAGGGGTATGTTTAAAGCCTGGCACATTTCGATTTTTCCGATTTTTAATTAAGATTAGGGTTAGGGTTAGACATTGGTTAGGAGGATAGTAGATATATAGTAAAATCGCATTTCCGACACTTTTACTTAGTACACCAAGACCGGTTTATATAGCTATTTTTTATATTTTCATGTTTCGTTTTGTTCGGACTTTAAACGATCCCTTTAACAATACATCAACCTCAATTATATCTTATTAGGAATAATTTGAAGCCTTGAAAATTATAAATCTTTAAAATTATAGAGGAATTCATGTTATTGACTGCGAATTTGGCCACAACTGTGCTTGACCCTTCCGTTGATCAAAAGGTACAGTACCTTCCTTTGTCCATTTGGTCACGTCGTAAACTCTGTAATTCTGCTTCGGCACATTTAACAACGCATACAATTTATTTTCGTCGCGTCATACCTCTTATGCTTATTTTAGAAATTAATATTACCTACTCGCGCTAATGTATTGCCAATTCCGAGATAAATTTTGGTACCTCTGGAAGAAAAAACCGTATGTTGTTTTTTTTTAGTAGTAAGTATAAATATTTTATAAATAATTGTTGGGATGATGCTGAAATTGGCTGAAGCTGAATATTTGGGGTCTCAATTTAGATCCATAAAAACTACTAAAACCCACCTATACTTGTTTATTATAAATTCTACCTATAAAAGCTGACCTCTAACCCTAAAAAAAAGTCAAAAAATGTGCCCAAAAAATTTAAATTTTCATAATAAAATATATCAAATTTTCAGCTTCAGCCACCAAATTATTATAACATTATAAATTATTTATTATGAAATTATATTTTTTTATAAGATGACATGGGTATTATACGACGAGGAATCGTTCGCTTGTCAGATCGCAAAGTGGTCCAAAAAAAGAACGAAGATAAACGATTTTGATCTCTAAATCTGGTCAAGGTTTGTTTTGTTTCTCTCCAGCTGTGTCTAAGTCTGGCACGAAATCATTTATTCCTTCTTCAGTCATAATCGAGATGTTTTATTGTACTTGGGTGCTTTACCTTCTAGGTGGTTGTATTTTTAAATATTCCTACAGATGTAAACTTTCGGCACCATATGAGATCAGTTTTCAAGGCAATCTTTTAATTCGTATTTACAAGAATTAAGAAACATGTAACTTAAAAAGATCTAATAATTAATTTATCCGAGCGCCAATGTTATTAAAAAGTCTTATTATAGTTCTTACTAGAGATATAGTTACGTAACTATATCTAATTATTGTCATGGATTATAATGAAGTCGGATTAAAATGAAATGAGGGGTTTCTATTGTCCCCTAAAACCCACTTGTTTATTATAAAATCTACCCTAAACATTAATCCTAACCCTAAATAAGTGCACCCAAAAATTTGTATTTTTTGATGGCTTGTTTATTTTACACTATCTCTCATTTCATTTTAATATGATTTCATTTTAATCCGTCACAATTATTAGCTATCTTTAAATTTCATGTATCTAAATATGTAAAATGTGTTGCTGCGCCACCGCCGATTTTAATTTATGCGTTTTTTTTATCAAAAATTATATATCGCACCGGTGG